GCCTTAGCTGCCCTCAGGACGGATGGCCCCGCTGAGCCTCAGAATGGGATCTTTCTTCATTCTTTTTAATGAAACTGTGCCCCCCGCCCCCCGCCGCCATGGTAAACCCTCACACACCGTCCTGAGGACAGAAAGCACACTGGAGTTGCCTCCTGTTCCTTCAGTCTGACTTGTACACTGCAGGAGTCATTCTGATGCAAGGATGAGAAATGCAGTCTGATTGGCTCAAGGGGGCAGGGAAATCCTCGAAGCGGGGAAGGAATAGGAGCAGGCAGTGGAGCTAGGCTCACTCAGGGACAAGGAGGGTCTTACAGGAGAACAGAGGCCCGCACGGAGTCTCTTGGGAAGTACCTGCCAGGAAGAGGCAGCTGAGATGAGGTGATCAGGGACAAGGAGGGGGCATCTGTCCAAAAACTCAGCGGCAAGGGGCCATGGCACGAACTACATGTCCGCTGCAAGTGTGGACCTATCCTGTGGCCTGATGAGAGCCATCATGGTCACGCACGAGGGACATCTGGCCAGAGGCTTGAATAGGGGACTCATCCGAAGGGGAGGGGTCTGGGAGTATACGCTCAGTCTGATGAGAAGGGACACAGGTCAGCAAGGGGAGATGGTATTCGTTGAGTCAGCCCTTGGCTGAGGCCCACCAACCAATCTCTCAGAAGCCCAAGACAGCACTGGTTTGTTGTCCAAGAACAGAGTGTCACAAGAAAGAGCCAAGACAATTCATCCCACTTCACATAGCGCCCGATGGAGGCCACCCACAAGTCATAAATGGCAGAGGACATACAGGTGGCAACTGAAAGGGAGGAGTAGGAAAATAATGGCCTGAACAGTGGAGGTAGGGTGTCAGGAGAGGGCAGTGTTAAGGGCTTAGGGCTTCCCTGGTGGCGCAGTGGTTGAGAATCTGCCTGCCAATGCAGGGGACACGGGTTCGAACCCTGGTCTGGGAAGATCCCACATGCCGCGGAGCAACTAGGCCCATGAGCCACAAGTACTGAGCCTGAGCATCTGGAGCCTGTGTTCCACAACAAGAGAGGCCGCGATAGTGAGAGGCTTGCACACCGCGATGAAGAGTGGCCCCCGCTTGCCGCAACTAGAGAAAGCCCTCGCACAGAAACAAAGACCCAACACAGCCAAAAATAAAAAAAAATAAATTAATAAAAAAAAGAGCTTAGGGCTTATAGCCACACCACTGGGCCAAGGCCTGGCTCTACCACTCTCCAGTTATGTGACCCGGGGCAACCTCTCAGCACCTGCTTATTCACTGGGCCATTTTGTGAGTGTTCATTGAGATGGTGCATTAAAACACCTAGCAAGGTGCTGGGCACAGAGAAAGGAGAAAATCAACAGCAGCTCTTGTGATCATTTTGTGAGAGAGAAGAGGCCATCCTTAACAATCCTGGAGCACCTCTGCTAGATGAACCAGTGGGCTGCACCCTAATGCCGTCAACCCATCCTCCAATTGATTAACTTCAGGCAAGGTGGGAATGGGCTTGGGAGCTGCGCACACCAACATGCCCTCCACCTGCAGATCTGAGTGGAAAGGCACTGTAGTTTACAGCAAGCAGTAAGACGAGAACAAGGAAAGGATAAGGAAGCGTGAAAAAAGAATGATAATTCAATAACATGGCTTAAGTCTAAACAAACGGGAAAGACTTTTACTCCCCTACTAAAAGGCAAGATCTCTCATATTGGGCCCAACTAAATACGGTTTTTAAGGATCACACTTAAGACAAAACAACTTAAAATATTAAAATGCAAAATATAGTCAAAGATTTATAAAATGAATGCAAAGGAAAAATAAATCAGATTTCAAAGAATTAACACTAACGAAATAAAAGCAAATAATAAATGGAATCAAGATCATTTTGTATGGGACACACTTCATAATGAATCTGCAACTGTTATAAACTTCTATATAGTCATTCATTGGTATCCATGTGGGATTGGCCCCAGGACCCCTGCAGATACCAAAATCCAGGGATGCTCAAGTCCCTTATGTAAAATGGCATAGTGTTTGCATATAACCTACACACACCCTCCCCTACACTTAAGTCATCTTAACACCTAATACGATTAAATGCTATGTAAATAGTTGCCAGCACCTGGCAACTTCACGCTTTACTTTTTGGAACTTTGTGGATTTTTTTTCCCGAATATTTTCAGTCGAGAGTTGGCTGAATCCATGAATGCAGAACCTAGGGATATGGAGGGCCAACTGTATACTAAATAATGTAAGGCAGAAACTGTTAGAAATGCAAGGGGACTCTAAGACATATTTCTGTCCTTGATAGACCAGGTTGTCAAAAATGAAAAGTGTGAATGTTGTAATGATAAGAGCAACTTGAGAGATTACATCTTTTCCAGCGCCCATGAAATATTTATACCAACTGATGTCATATTAAACCACAAGACAAATATCAAACATTTTAAAAAACCTAGAAAGCATATGTGTCATATATTCTAAAACAATGTTAAAAAAAATTAGAGAGAAGACCATTTTTAAAAACCAAGGCCCTTCATAGTTGTGTTATGCATAATAGTGAAATAGTGAGCCAAAATAGTGTTATCCAAAAAGTGAAACCACTCACATATCCATCAAATGATGATAGATAAATAAAATGTGGTACATCCATTCAATGGAATATTATTTGGCAATAAGGAGGAATGAAATACTGATCATGCTCTAACAGGAATGAACCTTGAAAACATGATGCTCAGGGAAAGAAGCCAGTCATAAAAGACCACACTGTACAATTCAATTCATATGAAATGTCCCAAATAAGCAAATCTATGAAGACAGAAAGTAGATTAGCAGTTCATCTAGGGCTGAGGGTGAGGGGGTGGAAGGCAGGTGGCTAGAAGGAAAAGGAGTGACTATGAATGGGTATGGGGTTTCTCGTTGGGGTGATTAAAAAGTTCTAAAATTGACTGCACTTATGGTCGTACAACTCTGTGAATATACTAAAAACCATTGATTGTACATTTTAAATGGATGCTACATGAATTATAACTCAATAAAGCCATTTGAAAAAACCAAAAAAAACTCAAGCCCTTGAAAATTAAAAAAAAACACTACCTTAAATACACTTGGATAAAAGAAAAATTGAAACTATAATTACAGAACATTTAAAGATATCACTGAGTACACTATACATTAAAACATGTAGGATACAACAAAAGCAGCAATTAGATGGAAATATATACCCTTCACTGTTTTCCAAATGAAAGTAGAAAGAATAATATATATACAAATAAGCCAATAATTTGTTTACAATAACAAAACAACTTAAGGAAAGCAGAAGAAATGAATTATAAAAGACAAAAGCGTAAATTCCATATTTCGTCAAATTTAGGATGTCATCTATTATAAATTTAGGATGCACCATAATTTTATGTAACACTAAGAAAAACTGCTGCCAATTAAACAATGTCACAATGCTTTGTTAGCATCAACTGCAAGATGCATCCCAATTTGAGAGATTTAAAAATGTGGAGAAAAAAAGCACATCCTAGACTAATGGAATATAGTAGATTAGAAAGCAGGAAGACAATGTGACTGATAAACAAATACGAAGTCTAATTCTTTGGAAAGACCAACAGACGTACCTCTGGCAAAGCAAATTAAAAACAGAAAGAGAAAATAAAAATGCAAACAATTAGGAATGCAAAGCAAATATAACCATACATACACAGGAGGTTAAAATTTATAGTGACTATATAAAACCCTATGTTCAAAAAAATTAAGTGAGGAAAAACTTTATGCTAATAATTTCAAAAACTTGGGTCAAATGGACAATTTTATACTAACATTAAGTTTTCCAAATTAGATTTAAAAGAATTAGAAAATTAAATACACAATGCTCATAGAGGACAGTTAAAAGTTGTCAAAAATGTATCTCAAAAAACTTACACTAGATTTCTGAAAATACTAGGAGTCACTTCCATAAAACCTTTATTTCCCTTGTTCTTAATACTATTTTATATCATAAAGAGATAGAAAAATTTCATAAAATTACCGTAACTGTGAAAAACCAAACCACAAGAAATATTTTTCACCCATCAAACCGGCAAAGGAAAAGAAAAAAAAAAGCCCATGAAAATACACAGCATTTGTGCACATGGGGAAAATAGGCAATTTCTTCCCATTCTAATGAAAATATAAGTTGTTACAACCTCTCCGGAGAGTGTTTTGAAGTATACATGAAAAGGCACACAATTTTGCAAAGTTTTGACCCAGTAATCACACTTCCAGGAATTTATTACAAGGTAAGAATCCTAACTATATAGGTGATTTTTGCAACAGGGATGCCCACTGCAAAATTTTAATAGCAAAAATGTATAGACAAATGTCAATATTAGAGAGATCCCAGTTGCACAAATCCATGTGATGGGACTGAGTCATAGTATAGAAATGCAGGTAATAACATTAAATGTTCACGACAGAGTAAACATACAGATTTTATATGCATCCAAACGAATGAAAAGATATGAAGCAAAATAGGGATTATCTCTAGGTGGGAAAGCAAATGATACTAATTTTCTTCTCTTCCAAGTTCCTTGCAATGAACATGTATTATTTTCGAATCAGTAAAATCAATAATCATTATAATAATTCTGTTGGAACAAATCTTATATATTAATAATGTCCAGAGAATCAGAAGAGAGGGGTTTGGGCCTGAGTTCCCCCAGTTCAAGAAGATGTGGATAAACCAGTAAGAGTCCTGTGACCCTTCTGAGCTGCAGGCTGGGGAGGCTTGGGATTCACAGATCATTTGTATTAGCAGCAGAATATCCCTTGTTTCAAGACCCTCGTCGGGAAATTCCCATCTTTAGGAAGTATCAATAGCCTGTTCTAACCCAAGGAGCCAACCAATCACCTCTTTATCCATGGCCCATGCTGCTTCATGGAAATTTCTCAATTAGAAATTGTAAAAACATCTTATCTGGCAGTGAGCAGGTTTCTTAAAAAATAATAGTCCAATTCAGACTCCTACCTAGATAGGGAATACTGGGAACCATCTTCAGGCTTCGGATATATTCCCGAGTCCGCTTGTAATTATCTTCTTTAGACATCAGGTAGTCCAATTTCTCAAAGGTGGTCTTGTCTTTTCGATTCAACAGCTGGAGTGAGAAAAAAACAGAGTATGAGAGAGAAGAGAAATAAACTGGAAGAAGCAAAAGAGAAAGGATAACTGCAGATGAAAACTAAAAGGAAACGTCCCAAATGGCACGTCTATGATGTGCAGAATCCTGGGCAGAACTAAGGATTTTAAGGTGCTGTTCATGTAGAGATGGAGTGTTCCATAGCCTCGACTTTGTCATTTTTCATAGTCTCACTCTTGGAAGATACCCTCCAAAGTTACCTAGTCCCTTGTTCTAGATGATGCCAGAATCCCCTGCATAGCACCCACCTTCACGGCGCATAGACCCTACAACAGCAAGGAGCTCAGAGAGTAAAGCAAATTGCTCAAGGTCACCTAGAGCTATTTCACAGTCACATCAGGTCTCTCTCCCTGTGTCCACAGAGAGCTTCTTGCTCTCTCCTCAACATCTCTGCCATTGCTGAAGGCCCTGGAAGATCTCATACGTTTCACCTGCGTATGCTGTACACATAACCAGGCCATCTCTCCAATCTGGTCTATCTCCTCCAGATTCCCTGTGGTCTATGACTGTGTCATATTTACACTGGGTACGGTGTTCTACTCAAAATAAGCCAAACTTCTTTTCCATATGCAGTCATCTAAGGGTGATTTAGTTATGCAAATACAGGATGAGCAGGCACCCACAGCCCAGAGATTAGAGAAGTAAGAGTCTTCATGACTGAGATCTCTGGAATGTAAAGCTGGTCACCAGGGAAGGGATGGCTCAGTGTTCATAAGGAGGCTTCTTGGAAGAAAGAAATAGAAACTGAATCCTGGTTCTCCAGACTTGATGCTAAGGACTCATGCTGTGGTCATCCTGCAGGTCCCAAGTCAAGGCCCAGTGCCAGGAAATGGCAATAAGTCTCCTTGAATAAAATGGCTTTAAGAAAAGGAGTCTAGGCTGAGAGCAAGCTTGAAAAAGAGAATCTGGGGAAGGATGAGCCAGAGAGGGCTGGCTTTGGCACAGCATGTGACTGATGTTGGGCACCCCCAAGTTTAGCTTCCAGGGCCAGTGCCTCTGGGATCTTAGATCCATGGCGGAGCCCAGGAGTATAAATGGAGGTGTGGACCCTAGGCCAGGAGCATCCTTGGTCAAGTGTGGTGTTGAGACCCCATGGTCTGTGCAAGGACCGGGACCAGCAGCCCTGTCACATCAGTCAGACTGAGATAGGCCAGTGGTCAATAGCTCCATCACACAGCAGAGAGAAGTAGAACAGTGACTGTCCAGCACCAGGGGAAGCTGGCCTTTCGTACTGAAATAGCCCCTTTGGGTTCCTGGGACCCAGGTCTGCAAATTCCAAACTAAGGCCATGCCTGGTGCACCAGCGAACTCAGGCTGCGTCGGCCAATTCCTTGATCCTCAGCCTCTGGAGTCACAGGGGGTGCAGCCTCTGGAGTGCACAGAGGGTGCAGCCTAGCTGAGCAGTGACAGCTTAAGGACTTCAGAGAGGAGAGGCAAAAGAAAAACCCGAAAGGAAGGTTCCAGTGCTGGAAAAGTTGGAGAGTAAATAGCAAGCTGTTTTTTTTTTTTTTTTTCCATTGAGAAATTCAGGACACATCAGGGTGGGGATGCTACACAGATGCTAGGGATGATGGCTGCCTAACTGGCTTGCTAATTTAAGGCTGTTATTCATCACATTAACAAATGGACAGGAAATCACTCCATCTCCCATTTGCTGTTTGTAAAGTACGGTAACATACAACTCATCTGGTCTTTACAAAGCCCAGGGACGAAAATGGAGCCAGGGTTATTGCCACTATTTCAGGTTCATAATCACAAGGATTAAGTGACTTGTCAGAGTATCCTTGGGGAACTTGATTCAATAGAGGAGAAAAATGTATATTATAGCAACATGGTAAGTAAGTAAATAGAGACCAAGAACCCAGACAAACAACAAGTAAATTATGGGTGAGGGAAGCGTCAAGGAAAGCTGTATAGAGAGAGGCATTTGAAATGAACATTTAAGGATAAGGAATTCACTAAATGAACTACCTATACCCAGATGAGAACCAGATACTCTAGTTGTGAATTGCCCCATTGTAAAGTTGAGCAGGTCCCTCACCCCCTTGGCTGGCAGGTCATCTCTTTATTAATGAAACCTAGAACCACACCGAATCCTTTGGCAGCCACCATGTTCATCCAGCAGTCAGACAAATCCCTATGTTATCCTCACACACACTGCAGCTGAGCCATCCTGGGGCCCAATGCTCCCTCCACTGGGTCTCTGGACCCAGCTGAGGGATTGCCCTTGTCCCCTGGCATGTTTGGCCTATCTGCCTAGCCTGTCAAGTGCCTCTATGCATGGCACCACAGAGCTGATCAGCAGGACATCTGTGTCCCGACATAGACATGACCAGGCCAACATGATTCGAGCCCTGGAGGATGTCCCTAAAAACCACCCTGAAGATTGACCTCAAACCAACAACTGGGGTTCTTTAGTGGAGTGGGACAACCAAAGGCAGCCACATTTGCATGCTTCCTAAATTTAAAACCAGGCTCCTCCAGGCCACACCTCTTTCTGTTAACCTTTTCTCTACACACATACTTCCTACCCACCCTCCATCCCTGCCCACACACACTCACACACACATTCAGAAGGGCTGGGGCTGGTTAACTACACTCATCGGCTCCATTCTGTGCCCACAAGCGAGATCCAGGATGGCACCAGATTCCTCAACAGGAATGCACAGCATGCTAGAAGACATGAAAAAAGCTCAGAACATCTATCTCCCATGCAAGCCTTTGAATACTACTTGAGAACTTCCCCCAGAAAAATGAAAAGAATAAACCAAGTCCAGGAAGATATGGGATATAGGAAACAGTGGACCCAGTCCAGCAGTAGTAAAGGGAGATGACAGATAAACAGCAAGACTCAAGAATGACTGGTCTACATCTATCGAGCCCAGAAGAGATGTCTCCAGAGAAAGAGAAGTCTTGATAGAAAACCTGACAGAACAGCACATTTGTGGGGGGGGTCGGGGGGGTGGATATATTTATTATGTATAATAAAAATAAAATTAAATGAAATAAAGATTTTATATACAATATATAAAAATCTGGTAAGATATTATATATGTTTATGTGTGTATTTACATATACATATAAAATATCTGGTAGATAAGTGGTAGCTAGAGTAAGAATTTTTCCTTAAAAGAGATTTAGAGGAACTTCCCCGGTGGCGCAGTGGTTAAGAATACGCCTGCCAATGCAAGGGACACGGGTTCAAACCCTGGTCCGGGAAGATCCCACATGCCGCGGAGCAACTAAGCCCGTGCGCCACAACTACTGAGCCTGTGCTCTAGAGCCCGCGAGCCACAACTACTGAAGCCCACGTGCCTAGAGCCCGTGCTCTGCAACAAGACCAGCCACTGCAGTGAGAAGCCTGCGCACTGCAACGAAGAGTAGACCCCACTCTCCGCAACTAGAGAGAGCCCACGCGCAGCAACGAAGACCCAATGCAGCCAAAAATAAGTAAAGTAAGGAAAAAAAAAAAAGAGAGAGAGAGATTTAGAAATGCCGGGGAAACAAAAGAGTATTCCAGAAAAGACATGTTATTCGTAGTTAACCACTTGACTATACAGAGAACCATAGTTGCACATTCCTAATAATTAAAACATGAATACTCATTTAATAAAAGAGATTTAACCATAGTAACATGAGCATTTTTGAAGAATGAGGAAAGGTGGTTCAGGAAAACGAAACCAACATCCATCATACGAAGAAGTCACCACATACTGTCTAAAGTGAGTGGATCAAGAAATTGTAGCAAAAACTCATTGATGGAAACATGGCAGAAATTACCAGAAGAAACCACTAAATAACTCTGAGTGTCTGCCTCTGGGGGAACGAATGGGGTACGGAGAGACAGAGCAATGAGTGTTAGTTGTTTCACTAAGACTTTCAGTACTTAGTGATTTTTAAAATTCATGTGCATGTATTATGCTGGAAAAATTCTTTTAAGATTTAATTTTTTAAACATAGGATTTGTTTATTCAAAATATAACAGCATTTACTTGTACATTTTTTTTTTGTTTGTTTGTTTTTTTGTGGTACGCGGGCCTCTCACTGTTGTGGCCTCTCCCGTTGCGGAGCACGGGCTCCGGACGTGCAGGCTCAGCGGCCATGGCTCACGGGCCCAGCCGCTCCGCGGCATGTGGGATCCTCCCGGACCGGGACACGAACCCGTGTCCCCTGCATCGGCAGGCGGACTCTCAACCACTGTGCCACCAGGGAAGCCCAACTTTTACATGTTTTAAACTTTTATTACAAGTAGAGCCATAAACTGAAAACCTCATGTGAATTGAGGGTCCTTTAGATTTTAGAGTTTACAGGAAGCCTCAGGAAGAAACCATCAGAACTACATGGAAGAAACCATCAGAACTACATGCAAGAAAACAAATTATCTGCCTACCTAAGTCAAACAGATACTAAAAGCATTCATGTTCAGGAAAAGAGGTAAGGAAATAAAATTAAGGAAAAGTTCACTAAATACAACAGGCAACTTCACTTCTAGTAAAGTTTAGAAGTATTGGGCCACCCTGAGATTTCCCTTCCATAATATTTATCACGATTGTGATCATCTGTACGATTATATCTGTGGTTCCCTCAGCAAATGAAGACTCCCATGAAGGTGGTGACCATGCTGGTTGTATTCACTCCACTATTCCCTGCAACTGGTATGGTTCCTGACACAGAGAAAACACTGCCTAAAGATCTGTTGAACAAAAGAATGAGAAAACAATGACAATTTAAAAATTCAACTCCTTGGAAATTTTTGAACACTCCAATAATTCTTGGGTAAAAGAAGAAATAAAAGCCAAGGTAATGGACTATTTACAAACCATAAACATATAGAACGTATAGATCACTATACGTTAAACTATGTGATGAGGCCAAAACTGTACTGAGAGGAAAAACGGATGGTCTTTAACTCTTATATAATTAAACAATATGAATATAAATGAACTTAACATTCAACT